TTAATATTTTTACTATCCCTGTTCATTCTCTCTTTTAACCCTCTTCCCCAAATTCTTTAAGAGTTTACTGTTTTCTCTAACTACTTCTTTATAATATTGAAGAATGTTTTTGCCATTAAGTTTTGCACTTCCTTTTATGTTCACTTTCCAGTTCGCTCTTGGCTATCGTAATCAATTTATTCCCTCTGCTTTTGTACAGTTTTGTATTCAGTCCAATGCTTGCCCTCTCCTTTCTCCCTACAAGCTTTGCAAATCTTTTTCTTAATCTCCTTTTTTAAATTTTCCGTAGTGGTGTGTTTTCTGTTTTGTTCCAGCAGTATTAGTGACTGTGTAATGATGTACTAAGGACTTATTAAACACAGTATTGATCATACTTTTGAAAATACTGTATTTGCTGTTTTATCCCTGTACTCCCACAAGTAGAGCAAATTACTTCAGTATTTTTGACAGTATTTCTGAAGCTACCTTTTCGGGGTTATGCTTTTGAAAATTAGATTAAAAGTTGCCTGCATAATGTCTTTGGCTCATGCATGCACAGATCCTAGGGCACCCCCAGTTGCTTTTACACAGCTCTTTTGCAGGCCATTGTCCGTGTCAGTGGCAGTCCGCGGTGGCCAGCAAGTAGCTGCTGCTAAAGATGATTATCCTGCTGGTTCCTGGTTGCATGGGTAAGAGCTTGCTCATTAACTGCAACATAGCCTCCCATATGATTGGCATAAAGATTGTGTGAACAAGAATGTGGAAAAGGACAAGGTGCCTAGTGATTCAGCAGGAGCATTTTACGATTATCTGCATGGCACTTTGCATTGGCAACAATTGCCTTCAGTGCTGAGAATGAGTGAGAAAACCTGGTCCGTTTGTAGAATGCCCAGATTAATCAGAATACTGGCAGAAGGATATATTGTTCAAGTGGCAGAAAGCTTCTTGTTATTAGGAGACGCTGGTGTAGATTAGCTGTAGTATTTGCATATTTAGTAAGATTCACTTATTTGTAATCAATTATATTTTGTAAAGCACTTAGATGTTTATTTTAAATCTGTGAAAATGCAAGTTATTTATAAATCGTTTGTATATTCTGCATACGTTTCTTGCATCTAGTTCATTTTATTCTCAAAAATAGTCAAAAACTATAGATGTATTCAGTTCTGTATAAAATTAAGTAGCAATTATAGAGATTTGTAGATCTCAATATTTTTACTATGTACCATCTTGCTCGATAAATGCAAATATAGATGTTTGTGTTGTTAACAAGTAGTTACTGACATTTTGTTGAATTAAATAGGTTGATAAATATGTTTAGCCTCAGGTTAGATGCAAACCCTAGATCACCCTGTTACAGGGGTCAATGTAACCGTAAGTGTGATTCAGTGAACATGCTTGTTTAATAGAGCTATAAATTTGTTTTGCACAGTTGATTAATTCGAAACTGCAGTAGGGATATGTTCACTGTTTCACATTATTAACCTTTTTGACAATCTTTCATTCTTCCCACAATGCAGCTATCCAAATTGTATACATGGTTTTAAGAAACATTTCTGGAGATAAAAGGGATTAAGGAATGTGATGAGAACCCAGGTAGAAAAATAGATTTGTTGGGCTTAGTAGTTTTACTACTATTCCTAAATCTTATGTCTTGTGTCGGTGAGTAATTCCAAGCAAAATAAATGGGGATTAAAGTATGATAAGTTTAAAAACATACAGTGTTACATAAAGCCTCTAAACTTTGCAGTATGATATTCCAGCAGTGTCACTATTATTATGTGGTATCTGAGTTACGATCAAAAGGGTACTTCCAAATAATGTAGCCCCACTGATGTGTCTAGTACTGTATTCACTCTTTAGCTGGGATTATGCTGCAGGGAGCAGCAAAGCCACTGTATGTCAAAGATAATAAATAATCCTTGCATTTGATAAAGCGCTTTTCACGTCTTCTAGACATCTCAAAGCGCTTCACAAAATATACTGTAAAGTGAATTGACTGTACATTTATGGGCGAAACGCGACAGCCAATAGCGTACAGTATTGTCACAGGAAAGGGAAGCTGTCTTTATACTTTTTCCATCCACACTGCTTTTGATCTAGCCAGAAAAAAACATTATTGCCATTCTACCATGTGTGCCAAAGAGCTACTATTTAATGAAGTTAAAAATGCTGTATTTAATTTTCTTTTGTTTTCAGTACTAGATACATTACTTGTCTTCCCGATAGTGCCTCCTTCGGATGAGACATTAAACCTGTAGAGTCCTGGTCGTGGAGTCCTGTAGCTCAGTGGTTAGAGCACTCGCCTTGCAAGCGAGACACCTGGGTTCAGTTCCAGGCAGGACGAAACCTTGGGCAAGTTTCCTTACTCCACACGCCTAATAATAATCGCTCCAAAAAAACAATAACAAATTGGTCATTTTCAATCCACAACTGTTTGTGGGACACTACTGTGCGTAATTGGCTGCCGTGTTTCGTCCACAAATATATGGTCAATTCACTTTACAGCATATTCTGTGAAGCACTTTGAGACATCTAGAAGACAGGAAAAGTGCTATATCTAATGCAAGGATTATTATTGTTTTGTAGCTCAGTGATTAGAACGCTCGCCTTGCAAGCGAGAGACCTGAGTTCAATTCCCGGCAGGGTGAAATGTTGGACAAGTTTCTTTACTTGACATAGCTCTGTTTATCTAGCAGTCAGTAGGAACCCAGTTGTTAGTCGATTGGTGGATCGCTTTTCCGGAGGTATTAATTCCTTCAAAAAAATAATAATAATATATTCGTCACTCAATCCACGACTGTTTGTGGAACTTTGCTATGCGCAATTGGCTGCCGCGTTTTGCACACAAAATATTCAGTCAATTCACTTTACAGTATATTCTGTGAAGCACTTTGAGACATTTCAAAGATGTGATAAGGCGTTATATCAAATGCAAGGATTATTATTTTTTTACTACTATGATTAGACTAAAACAAGATAACCAGTGTGATTCACATCCACCATTTAAAATCACCTCTTTCCGGTCACGGCAAGATGATTTGGGCTCTTTTTTTTGCTCCTGTTTATGATATATGTTTAGTGCTAAATTATTGCCAAAATACGATTTGTAGCTGAACACACATAGTATAAACACAGCATCTTTAAGTGATCTTAGGTGGTATAGATTATTGAAAACGAACTAACTTTCCGTCTTGTAGCTACAAATCTCTGCAAGATGTCTACATTCTTGCATGATTATCAGAAATGTAATGGCACAAGTTAATTGGTAGAATGCAGAGTGAAACTGTGTCTGGGTTGTTTTTTAAATGAAAGTGTAGAAGTACAGTACTAATTAAAGTGCAGAAGATGGATTGTTACCATAGAACATAGAAGACGCAACTTGTACAGCCCTGATGTGATGGATGGCGTCTTCATCCTTGTGTGCTGTAAAATTCTGATTCTATCACTGGAACTCAATTGATAGCAAATATTGCAGATTCTAGAAGTTGGTCTGATATAAGCTAATGAAAAAGTGTATAGCAAAAGGTATTTGACAAAAGCCCTACTAGAAGTTCAGTGGATCAAGTAAAGTCTAGTTTAATATCTTCTTAAGGCTCTCACACTGTAGAATTTAGGTTTTAAATTCACTTTTTTCACATTTGTTCATTGTAATTATGTCACTTATGGCACTTGGGTTCAAGACTATTCATGTTGATTATTTTTGGAATTAGTACAAAGTCCTGGCAGGTTGGACGTTAATAGAGGATATTACACAAAGTAGGTTGTGGTTTTCGAACAGTGTCACGGTACTAAACAAAGTGCTGATAAAATAGGTTACAGTAATCGTTGAATTTGATATGGCACTTTATCATGTCTTCGAGAGGTCTCAAAGCACTTCACAGAATATACTTTAAATTGAATTGACTGCATATTCTGTGAGCGAATATACAGTCAATTACTTGAGCTACTAGGGATTTGAATAGTTTACTGGATCCCTGAAATTCTATAGAGATTTAACACCTTTAAGGCCATTTTGTCTTAAAATATAAGATCGTGCAGAATTGTAGAAAATTCTTTAAATCCATTCTGAATTTGGAAGCTAGTGCTTTTTATGAAGTACGGAAGTCTGCCTTCAAATTAAGACTGGATTTGTTTTTTTCCACAATACTATACGATTTTAAATCCAACCAGTGGAATTTGGAGGCATAATTTAAACACAGTTGTGTATTGGTAAAGCACTATGTATAACCTTATTTTTAATCTAATCTGAACATGGTTATAAAAACTATATCTGCTATATTGAAAATCTAGAATACATGACTTCTGTGCAATTGTATTTCATTCAGTAAAGGTTGTGATACACAGTGATGAACTGTGGAGTCTTGTAGCTCAGTGGTTGGAGCACTTGCCTTGCAATCGAGAGACCTGTGTTTGATTCCTGGCATGGCGAAATGTTGGGCAAGTTTCCTTATTCCACACTCCTCTGTCTACTTAGCAGTAAGTAGAAACCTGGTTATTAGTCGACTGGTGGATCGCTTTTCTGGGGGTAATAATGCCTTAAAAAAAATTATAATCAATTGGTTACTTCAATCCCCGACTGTTTGTAGGACACTGCTGTGTATAATTGGCTGCTGCATTTCACCCACAAAATATAGTCAATTCACTTTACAGTATATTCTGTGAAGGGCTTTGAGACAACTCCAAGACGTGGTAAGGTGCTATATCAAATGCAAGGATTATTATTATTAAATTGTTTTTATAATAGAACATAGAAATTTTCAGCATAGCATGTCTATCAGTAGTGTTACCTGTTTTTGCTGCATATTATTTACACATTAAAAGTGACAATATGTAAAAGTCTCTCAAACATACACACAAAATTAATGGAGCATGTTGTATCTGCCATATTATTGTTATTCAATCTTGAGCTTCGGCAGGACATCTGTGTTGAATACTAATTGGAAAGTAAAGGTCAATTGTGTTTATAAGCTTGAGATTTGCAGTAAGCTTTCGACTTGTTTTCTTCAGGATCTGGGATGCTCGTGTTCCCAAGTAAACGGATAAAACCACTGGGAAAAACTGCAGGGAATAATCCTGTTATTTGGTTTCCTGCCTCTTTGTAAAGACAATTACATGGCAAATGGGTAAGCAAAAGGATTATGTAGAGTTTCAGTTGCAGTCAGCAGGCTCTGCATAAAATTTATTTTCCTTTGAAAACATTTCTTTTCAAACAAAAAGTCAGCAGGAAAAGTATTCTGGTAGCCTGGTTTTAAATTTTGTCTGATTGGATACAGAGATTGAAAACTCTGAATTAGCTACTGAAAGACTAATGACTCAAATTCATGAAGGTTGGCTGGAAAATCTAGAAGCAAAGCATTTGAGTTCTAGCTACTAGGATGTCAGTTCAGATTGAACCTTGAGAACCATTCTAACTCACTTGCGTAGCTCTGAAATGTAGACAAATGCAATGAATTACTGCATTATTGCAATATTATTTGTGGAGTCCTGTAGCTCAGTGGTTAGAGCACTTGCTTTGCAAGCGAGAGACCTGAGTTCAATTCCAGGCAGAGGGCGAAACCTTGGGCAAGTTTCCTTACTCCACACGGAGCCTAATAATAATCCCTCCAAAACCAAAAACAATAATAAATTGGTCATTTTCAATCTACGACTGTTTGTGGGACATTGCTGTGCGCAATTGGCTGCTGCGTTCGCCCACAAATATACATTCAATTCACTTTACAGTGTGTTCTGTGAAGTGCTTTGGGACGTCCTCCCGACGTGAAAAGCGCTGTATCACATGCAAGGATTATTATTATAATATTATCATTGTGATTTGAATTTGTTTGAAAAAACTATGAGATATTATTTCATTATGTCTGCACCTTCCGAATACCTTTTTATTATGGAACGACTGTTTGACCATGAACCAATTTTTTGATTGTATCTACATTTTTTCTTTTTGTCCCTGCGAAATGCTTAGGGGGAGGGAACTGATCATAGTTTGGAAGAAAGAATAGAATGGGAAGAAAATAAGAAAGAAACTGCAAACACAAAGGAACAAACAATAAGACAATAAAGGAAATAAGAACAACATAGAAAACCACAACATGATTAAAGAAAAAAGAAATGCATAGAAATGATGAAATTAATTTTAGAATTATATTTATAACCAGAATTATAACTTTAAACACCAGCTAAATAACAACAATCTGCTATTACTGGTCTTACACAAATTTACTAAATAATATATGCAACACTGCTCTTTCCTTCACAAATTTGTCTGGTGATTATTGGGGTAAATTTTATTAGAATTCTACAATACAATTTACATTTATATCATGCCTTTCAAGTCGAAAGGACATTCCCAAGTGCTAAAAGCAATTGTCAGACCACAAGGTAGATATCATTCAGATATAACAATTTTAAAGGGTGATTATGGGTATTGAGTATTCAATAGCATTTTAAAATGCCAACTTTGAATGATTGCATCTTTGTTCGAAAGGGAGAAAGTTTTAAAAATTATCTACTTCCATTTCAATCATTTGAAATTGAAATCATTCGATTTCTGAAATGTTTCTTACAATTTAGCAATTTTATGTGAAGTTATTTCTGAAAAAAATGCAACAGTGTACATTAACTAAATGTATCTTGGCTTAATTATTCAGTGCATAGTTGTTTATCAACAGTGTTGTATTATATTTGTCCTTTATTACCTACTCTGTCCACCAGAATATAATATTAATGCAAAAATTATGTAATCAAATGAAGTATACGAACAACCATCTTTGACAAAGTTGCTGGTCTAATTAGAATTATCACAAATGTACCTGTAACCAATTAAATAATTATCCATACTGATTTTGGTATCTGAATTATATAAATGTTTGACCTTTAGCCTGGAAAAGGAGCTCTGCAGTATTAAAATAGTTTTGCATTGATTTGTACTATGTACACAGCTTAGTGTTCTTTGTGGGAAACAAATCATTATTGACTCTCAATAGTTTTGACACAGATGCTTTCTTTTTTGAAAACAATTTAAAAAAATATATAACCTTTGATATTGTCTCTGTGACTGTTGGTCCCGTGTCTGAGTAATTAAGTTTATTGTTAGGACTGGTAAGCCAGTAAGTGTGGATTCCTAATGTAACACATAGGACACATGGGAATGAAAAGCTGCCATATGCAGGCTGTTGAGAAGATGTGCAATTGATATAATAATTCTTCATAATAATCCTTGAATTTGATATATTGCCTTATCACATCGTTGAACTGTCTCAAAACTCTTCCCAGAATATATTGTAAAATAAATTGACTGCATTCTACTAAGATGCATTCACGTGAAAGTGAATGCAGTAAAATTAACTGTAGAACAACCTAGTAGTCAAGCCTACCTGCTCACAGTTCAGTGGTAGCAGTTTTGGAGTACAAATCAGGGCTCATCCAATTAGGATGAGTTCTGTCAGTTCTTGTCCAATTTGTAGTATTTGAAAGTGGAAGAGGAAAAATTGCTATGATATGAGCACCTTCTATCAGCTTTTCATGGGGAGACATTGATGCTGTGTAGAAGTCTAACTTCCTTCTCACTGATTAATGGAGCAGTGCAGTCAGCAACCTATGAACGAGGAAAAAAATGCTTAATACTGAGCAATTGAAAAATTAATCTGTGCATTTCAATAAACGTAACCATTATTATAACACATCAGTTGCCAGCAGTAACCTGTTATTTCAATTAGAGCACATTTTCCTTAATGTATTTGATTCATCATAATTTGTACAGTAAATCCTTGAAACATTTTGATATTAGTTTCATCCTTTGTACTACATACTTACTACAACCATGGCTGTGTTCTACTGCCCTACTCCACTAATGCAAATGCCCTGTTTTTCAGGGCAGTCATAATTCCTTGCTGCCAAAGGAGCCTTTGCATCCAGATTCAAATGACTCATGCAAGAGGGATGGCAAAATTCCAGAAAGAAACCAACTCAGCAGTTGCTTCCTCGGCACTTTTATAGTATAAATTGCCATCATTGCAGTTCAGTGTTGGCAAGTCAGTTACTGCAGCTGGTTTGTACAAAAATGCTAATGTTTGAAGAATGGCCACTTGAGTAAATGTCTGCCAGCATCTTTGTAACTAAAAGGAATTGAACTCTTTGGAAGAGGAGAGAAAATTGGACGCACTTAAAAATAACTTATTTCTGCAAACTAAGCTGATTTAAATATATAGGGTGGAAAAATCCCACTTTCGTCTAGATTTACTATATCTTCAAAATTTCAGATTATTAAGAATGTGACAAATCATTGAAATCAGTCATATGTTTGAAGTTGCTTTTAGTTCTAAAAAGAACTTGGCTCCAAATTAAGAATTTCACAAATTCTACATGCTGTAAAATGCTAAGAAAATTAAGTAAATCTAGATCCTGGTTGAATTTCTACCCCATATATAGTGATGGAGAGTAGTTATTTCTCAGTTTAGGTGGTAATATACCAGATTACAAAAACATGGAACAGGAGAGAAAAAAATAATATTCCATAGACTCTGGCTCCTAAATAGATTTCTCTAATCAAAACTCATTCAGCAACAACTTGCCCTCCATGCAGGATAGTGTCTCAGAGCGCTTAACAGTGGCAGAGCCTGACTCCGAACCCTGGGGAAGGGGGAGGTGGCTGTAAGCACAGTCGAAGAGGAACTTTTTCAGGCGGGACTTGAAAGAGAGAAGAGAGGGAGCAAGGCAGAGGGATTGAGGGAGAGTGTTCCAGAGTTTTGGGGTGTAGTGGCTGAAAGCACGACCTCCAATGGTGGGGCGGAGGGTGTGAGGGATGAGCAGGAGGCCGGGTGCCAGTCGAGCAGAGACCCCAGGTGGTGGATTGGGGATTGAGGAGGTCCAAAGCCCTAGTAAGTTTGTAATTTATGCATGCTGAACATTTGAACTTTCCAGTACATTTTTGTGGTGTGATATCTGCAAAATTGTCTTGTTTATGAATTTTTAATGCTCAGTATAATGAACTACATTGAGAGGAGCAGATCGATTCATTATAATTTAATGCTTTTTTTCTGTGGGCCATGTTCAGTCTTCCTCTTGAAGACTTTCTTAAAAGCCAGATTTTCATAGTTGTTAAAAAAAGAAATGGCTTGCAAATTAACGTTAAGTTTACACATTTTCCATATTTCTGAACAATCTTAAAATTTAAGATAAAATAGTCTGACAGTTTAAGACTAGGTGGAATGTTGAGCCTATGCAACAACAGCAACTTGCATTTATATGGCATTCTTCACACTGGACGGTGTCTCAGAGCGCTCGGAGAGCGTATCCGAGCAGGACACCTGCCAGATTTTTTCTCCTTTCCGTGAACATGGGATGGTATAAAATTCTAATAACCATTCTATCTGGGATCAGACATACTGGGATTTAGTTGACTAGATTATTCTTACAATGACAAAAAATTACATTTGTGCAGTGACTTTCACGTCAGGAGGACGTCCCCAACAAATACTGAATTCTTCAATGGGTTAAGACGTAAAACAAAAAGCTGTTTGAAAATCTTTTTGCTAGAACTAGAAATTAAAATAGAAAGAACTGGAAAGAGAATCTTAAAAGATATGCCAATGCATATTACAACAGTTTCAGTTGCCTTGAGCACTCATTGTTACTTTGGGTGAAGGGAGGAAAAACAGAGCCAAGAAGCTTCATTTTCATATCACATATTATTTTGCAGGGTTGATAAATCTTAACACCCAACTTTCAACTACAAGCCATGTACAAAGCTGAGCATTAAACTCCAAACTTGACCTGAGCATAGTAACAGTTACTAAATGAGCTCATGATCTTGAATAATTAATAAATTAATGAGGGGGAGGGGAGCCATCAGGCAATGATATTTGCAAAAACAGGACACAAAGACAAAAGGATAAGTAAAAACAAAAAAAACTAAACTGGTGGAAGCAAGAGTGAAGGCAGAGGAACAATTTTTTGGGGGAAGGAGAGAGGATGGAACTGTTTGTACATTTGAATAAGCATTTTTTCTGTAACATGATCAATGTCAATTTTAGCAAAATATACGTTCTATATATTGCCGTGTATCAAAATATATTGCCATGTGTGAAACATAGGAGTATTTTCTAAACTCTCCAATGTGGCCAAATTTAGTAATAATAATAATAATGCCTGCTCATTCAGCTATTAAGAATACCAATGTTAATGCAGATTCATTGAAGTTTCCAAATTGTCAAAAAAAAATCAGGACTTCTGTTTCATTAGTACAGTAATTTGCTGGTTAATTGTAACTGGAAAGGCTACAGGCAGTAAAACTGGGTTATGATACATTGAAATGTCCAGGGTATTAAACTAGAAAATGTCCTCAGTCAATTATTTTATTTATATTCTTCAGCAGATCCCTGGGTTATTCAAAGTACTGAAACTGTAATCGCTAACTGAGCTGTCCAAAGAACTAAAACTATAGTTTTATCTTCTCAATTGTGTTACTGAAACTAGACACTAGTTTAGTCAATTGACCAGGTATCAAAAATGGAGGGAATTCGCTCAGCTACCTCTCCCCCATCTACCGCTACCCCCTCCCCACCTCCCCCTCACACCCTGGCCCCTTCCCATTCCTCCCTACACATCTTCGACCCTGTCTCCCATTCTTCCCTCACCTCCCTCGTGTCAAAAATGAAGCCCACAACCTGCTACCTCACCCCCATCCCCACTGCTCTCCTTACCTCCGAGCTCCATTTCCTGACCCCTCTTTTAACCAACATCCTTAAGCTCTCTTTATCCACTGGCACTGTTCCCACCCCTCTTAAAAATAGCTGTCATCACCCCCATCCTCTCCAGCTATCATCCCGTCTCCAACCTCCCTTTACCCTCCAAGGCCCTGGAATGAGTCGTCACGTCCCAGCTTTGCTCTTTCCTCTTCTGTCATTCCCTCTATGAACAACTCCATTCGGGTTTCTGTGCTGCCCACAGCACAGAAACAGCCCTGGTCAAAGTCACTAACGACATGCTTATCATCTGCGACCAGGGCTCTCTCT